TCACCAATTGCTTTGGCTTTGGGCAAGGGGTGGGGACTCAACACATCTCAGAAGTGCCTTGCAACAGATTATTTCTCAAGAAGCATCTACATCTTTTCATGTTTGCTTTCAGTCGGCTTCAGAATGAAAGTGTGCTTTTTTTTCCAAATATATTAGCAGTAGAAATTGTTTCTTCTTCATTTTGGAAAGCTTAGGTTGTTTTGTTTTTTTTTTTGGTTTATTTTTCAGATTTGTGTTAGAATTTTAAATCACTTCGTATCTTGGTTTTTGTAGTTGTAGTTCACAATATTTTGATGACTATCAGCATGCCAAACAAAGCAGCTGAAATAGTTACTTGTTTTTATTTTAAAAACTAGTCTGACAGTGACTGGCTTGCACATATAATTTCCTTTACTAGAAAACAGTATCTCCTAGACATGTCAAGCCACAGCTTGACACAATTGCACGTCGTTAATAACAGCAATACGCAGCGATAGGAAGTGCTGCAAACATCATACAAATAAATACAGTTCTGAAATTAACTTTGAGAAGTTTTTCTATTCACAGTTATTTCCCTCATGGGAAATTATGTAAAAATAAATATATTTTTCATACTCAATGTCTGCTGTGGTAAAACATTTCCACAAACTGATCTAAGATGGCAGCGGTGGAACCAGAAACCACTTCCAACCCTCAGCCTTCAGAAGAGGAGAAAACTGAGCCATCAGCACTTAGTGTGAGGAGGTTGCCAGTCCTGAGCAGTGTATGAAGCATCCACTACGAAACAGATGGGCACTCTGTTTTTTTAAAAATGACAAGAACAAAACTGGCAAGCAAATCTTCATCTTATCTCAAGGTTTGATACTGTTGAAGACTTCTGGGCTTTATACAACCATATCCAGCTCTCTAGTAATTTAATACCTGGTTGTGACTGCTCGCTCTTTGAACCCATGTTGGAAGATGAAAAGTACAAGCACGGAGGATGATGGCTAGCTACACTGAACAAACAGCAGAGGCAAAGTGACCTTGATTGCTTCTGGCTAGAGACACTGCTGTGCCTTACTGAGGAGTCATTTGGTGACTACAGTGATGATGTGTGTGGTGCTGTTGTTAATGTTAGAACCAAGGGTGATAAAATAGCAATATGGACAACTGAATGTGAAAACAGGGATGCTGTTACACATATAGGGAGAGTATACAAAGAAAGATTAGGACTTCCTCCAAAGATAGTGATTGGTTATCAGTCCCATGCAGACACAGCTACTAAGAGTGGCTCCACCACTAAAAATAGGTGTGTTGTTTAAGACAACACCTTCTGAGTATTCTTTCATAGGAGGCTGCGTCAAGCAATCGAGATTTGGGAGCTGAACAAAAGCCTCTTCAAAAGCAGAGTGGTCTACATTTAGATTTGATTTCCATCTAAGTGTTGCTAAGATTTGTGAGAAGTCTTATTTGCCTTTGTCTTGTACTTCTCTGTTCCATCTTTATTTTGTTTTTTTTTTTCTTTTTTTTCTCCTCTATTTTGGCTGAAGTAACCATTTCTGATCAGAACTTGAGTACACTTCACCCTTCAATTCATTAATGTTTTCCTGGCCCACTCTGTAATAGGTTGATAGAAACGTTATTATTACAAGGAAAAAAAAATTGTTTATCCACAGTATTGAGAAAAGAAGTTGCATTTCTGTACCTGCAGGAAATTACTGTGTCTTATATTTGCATTGTATGCAGTAACATTTACTGGTTTGGAGAAAGAGTATGGTGCATACAGTTTTCTAGCAATTTTTTTTTTGTACAGCATCACCTTTGCTGTAACCTATGCTGATGGCTGATAGATGAATTTATTTGTTTTCCCTATTTGATAACATTAGTGATATTCTATGATTCTGACATTTCTTATCAGATCTGAATGGGAGTCCCAGAAGGCAGCCAGGCTTTATGTCAGTAGAGCCAGTCTTTGGCTCTCTGCTCCTTAGGGAGCTTCTCTCCTGCCAAACTCTGCCCAGAGATGTTCAAAACCCAGCTACTCTGAAGAGCAGGCTGTCCCTTGCAGTAAGAATTGAAACCCAGTGGAGCTTTCCTAAAGCCCTGGCTCAGTTTATGTCCATGCTCTTCGTTCTACAGTGCCCCTAAGCTGGGCTTTTGGAGGTGAAGCTGCAGCAATGACTGCTCTTGGCATTGACTGGAAGCACACACCTTGAGATAAATTTATTTGTGTAGACGAGTTCTCCGCATTCCCTATTTCTGTTAGGTTCATGGATAGTACTCAGCCATTCCCATCCTCAAGGTACAACGTTACAGTGCTCAGTTAAGCTGCCTTTGATCAAGCCAGTGAACAGACACATTCCACATTTATCAGCCACCACCAAGGCATGATCCTTATTTCTTCCCACACACACTACGAACCAGAAGTGTCCCCATTCCTCTCTGTTTCATCAATGTTCATTGTAGGTTAACCTCAGTGTAAAGGATTTCAGGCATCTTTTACAGAGAAATATTACTGCTGCTTATCTAAGAATTGTGCTTCGCTTCAGCTTGAAGAGGTTCATAAGGTTTGGTCACCTAGGAACTGGTTTCCTCCAACACTGTTTGTGCGTCTGACATGATATACACAGCTGAGTTTTACTTATATCCCTGGTTACTTGTATAAAGAACATCTGCGTAACCCCCCCTTATCGCCAACAAATTTAGAGGATGTACCCTGCCTTGTTAAACCATACCTATCCTGAAAAACTCTACCAATTTTGCCTGCATCCCAGCTCATGTGAAAACAGACACTTCTTGCGAGGGAGAAACAGAAAAATATCACTGTTCTCATGGGAGCAATTCTGATCCCAGTTTCAACAGCTGATGCTTGAGGTAATCCATCCCCTCCCATGGAAGTCATACCATGATCATGGCTCTTCTGTAAGGTTAACTGTCATTCAGCTTTGTTTTTAGAAGAGAGATGTGGTCTTCCCATCAACAGTACTGTCCCTCCAATGAGTGCATGGGATATTCCCCGGCTCTCAGGCAGCACAGTCCTACAGACTTCTCCAAAACAAAGGCTTATAAGCTGTTGGACTAAAATAGCACTTCAAACCTGGCACTTACTCCAGTGAAATGTTTGCAAGGAGCAATTGCAGCTTTTGGGCTGCAAGGCAAAAGAATTAAAAGGGAAAGAAAATGTGCTCCTTCAGCTTCCTGTTGTGGAAGCTCATCATTCCCTGATCACCCCAGCTTCCCTTATCCTTCTCTGAACTTCCTCCAGTTTGAATTCATCGGATTTGAACTGGTGATAAATACATGCATGAATGTGAAAATAAATTATTTTTCCCTATAAATTACAGGGTTTACATCTAGGAAGATCCAAGTTTCTTGGTCAGTTGGCTGAAAGGGGAGCTGAACACTTCTCTGCTAAAACCCAAGGACAGGCAAAGCACAAAACTTTCCCAGTACAGCAACATGATCTGTCTGATAATCAGAACAGCTACCGCTTTACAAGTGGAGATGCCCTGGGTGGACAGTGGCTCACAGACAAGCCTGTGCTCCCTCATTTCCAAAACCAAGATGGAGAAAGAGACCTGGTGCTAGCAGAGATCATTCCCCAGGAGCTAAACATCTCCTTTTCTGGGACTATCAGAGCAGTAAACGGATGCCCCTGTCTTAACACCAGGGTTCACAGTCTGCCCTGTGCCAGGAAGGGGAAATAGCAGGACAATTGCAAAAATAAACCCTTAGGAAAAAGCTATTCATTCTGCTGAGCTCAAAGAGGTTTGGAAAAAATAATTTCATGCCAAAATACGAGTAGGGCACTAATCTCTGTGTTCATCAAATACAGGGAGAAACACCCTGGAAAGGAAAGTTTAGAGACTTTTCCTCTTCACAGTGTCTGCAGACATGGTTCCCTGGACAGAGTTCACACCCAGGGCCTGGAGGCAAAGTGATAGAACACGAGACTCAGTTCAGTGGCTCCTGCTGCAAAGTCTGAGGAAGATGCACCCTAAGAGGAAGCTATCCCACTTCAAGGATATGCTAGTAGCCCTCCTGCTGGACTTCCTCCAGGCGTTCATCTTTTCAGGGATTTCTGCTGAAAAGTGAGATTGTGCTGCAGAGAATGACTGCTCCTACCTTCACACCCATTTATTTGGATGTCATATGGACCACACACAGAGAAATTATTAGCACTGACAAGAAAACCACTGAACCATGTCCCTAAGCACCACATCTACATCTTTTAATACCTCCAGGGATGGTGACTCCACCACTTCCCTGGACAACCTGTTCCAGTGCTTCACAACCCGTTCAGTGAAGATTTTTTTCCTAATATCTAATCTAAACCCACCCTTATGCAATTTGAGGCCGTTTTCTCTTGTCCTACAGCTTGTTATTTGGGGGAAGCGAGTGACCCCCACCTCACTCCCTCCTCCTTTCAGGCAGTTGTAGAGAGTGATAAGGTCCCCCCTGAGCCTTCTCTTCTCCAGACTAAACCCCCCAGGTTCCCCAGCTGCTCCGCATCACACCTGTGCTCCAGACCCTTCACCAGCTCTGTTGCCTTTCTCTAGACCTGCTCCAGCACCTTAATGTCTCGTAGTGAGGGGCCCAGAACTTGGCGCAGTTTGTGGAGTACATCAACGCATTTCATCATCAAAAGACTGCATTGGACCTTCACACTGACTTGCTTCTAGCATATTTTATAAACTGCTTGGGAGAGGGCAGTGTGGGTTGCTCACCCATGGCTCCCTAAAAAGATCTTCATAGGAGAAACACCAAAGCACAACATCCCCAAGCCAGTCATGTGCCATGACAGAGCACAAAGAGCAGCCTGTTCTGCTGCAGATGTGCCCCCGTTCACTAGCACACAGTCCAGACACTCATCAAGGTAGTGTGAAATGCAGGAAAAGTAAATGAAGTGTTTCTTCGCTTGCCTGCTCTGCAGGTGTAAGACATGGTGCCAAAACACCATCTCAAAGGCTCACACGTGTGCTGTATTTACATTCCTTAGTTTGTCACCAGGAACAATGGCTTTACCAGACTGCACTCACCTCTCAGTTTCTTCTTTCCAAATTTTAATCCAAATAGAGACATCCCAAAACTTTATCTTAGTCCAAATCCATGGAACTTCTGCAAGAGAAAAGAGACAGTAATTCACAATGGGGGTTTCTATCCCACAGCATGACATGATGCCACACATACATGTAATCCTGTGCCCGTAAAATGGGAAAACCAAACTCCTAAACACAGTGGTCAACAGCTGCAGTTTATCACATAGAGTGTTTTAAAACGCAAAACCATCTCAGGTGTGCAAGTTGCACTGCATCAGTGTGGGCTACCTTACCTGGGACATTTTGATCTGTTCATCTCCTGACATAGCACAAGGAAGGGGTCTGTAAAGTAGAGACTGAAAGGGATATTCTTACAACCTTGGTCTGATGTGATAAGGAGAAATACATGCACAGAGCTTGTCTTTAAGGTGCAAAGGATCTGTGTGATTACCCAGGGCAAGACCAGCCTCCCTGAAGAGGAGGAAGCAGCAGGAAACACTGGTTTCCTGTACATCTGCCTGTGCTCAACATGTGCTGGCTCACACCGTTGTCCATCTGCTGGTCACTCTGTGTGCTTGGGGTGGACTAACCTGTATGGATATCAGTAAAATTTCTCCCCATCAGCTGCAAACTTCTGGCCCAGAAGCCTAAACCCAGGCACAGAAATGCATTTAAGGCACTCAGTGTATCCTGATATACAGAGGAATCGAGAACTAAACAAAATCACATCAAAACCTGTTGGTAATGGAACTTTTAATTCCAAGCATCCAAGTTTATTTGAAGGACATAATGGAGATGTTCATGCTGACAGCCTGTGAAGATCCATGGGCACAGTTATAGCTGGCACTGCCTGGAATGCCTGGCTGCCTGGGAGCCTGAATCAACAAGAATACTGTACCAGTTACTTAACTGGTCAGTGGAGCCAAGCAGAGACATTTGAGGGAATAGTGATCTATCTGGAACAAGTTTTCTAGATGACAGAATGAAGGTTTTGCATTTTATCCTATGCTATCTGTGCAGAGCAGAGGTGTCTAAGGAGACAAGTGTAGCAAGCATATCATATTTTGGAAACACACAGATGTGAATACAGGCTATGCCACTGACCAAACACAAACCTTATACAGCATCACCAGACCATGCCTCGTGAAGCTTGGGCTTCATGTCTTTTCAGAAAATGAAGTTAAACTTTAAGGAAAGCACCACAATCTTTGCACAGGTCAAACATTTCTGCACAGATCTCTATTCCAGATGCTAACACAATGCTATATTTAGCTGCTGCAATTCAATGGGCCTGAAATAAGGCAAACAGCAGTAGGTAAGCTCCAGCCAGCCAGCTAAGTTCTACACACCGAGGCTAGTGCAGTGCTGGCTGCCACCGATTGTGACTAGGAGCCCCTCTGTGCCCTCTGTTTGAAGGAGAACCTTATTCTATTCACTCATGTAGATCCAATTGTTTCTGCTCACCAGAAAAATGCTTTGCCAACATCCCTCCCCAAAATGTCCTCTGTCCATGGAACTAAACCACTTAAGTTACAATATTCAATGTCACAACCTAAAGCTTTCTCAACCCTGCTGACCAGCCTTGCTTTCCATCCCTAACTGACCTCAGCCTATAATTTTTAACGTATTTCTGCCATGTTTTAGGATTACTATTATGTCTTACAAAACCCTCTTCACTAGGACTGAGGGCTCCCCATCAGACGGTGGAAGAAGTGAGACAATGCTACCTACATACCCAGAGGTAAAGACCACGTTTCCAAGAGCACCAGAGCCACAGATCTGATAATCACTGGCAGCACAGGGATGCAAAATGCTGTCTGGTTGTAATCATCGCATGGCAATCATTCTAAACTCCAGATCTTGCTGTATTTTACAAACGTTTTAGAAAAGCTATCCCCAGCCACCAAACCTCTCCCAGCTGTGTACTCAATTGACAAGGCATATAATTTCAGCAGAGGGAAAAAAAAGGATGTTTCTCTTTGTGAGGAAACAGGGAAGAGAGGGTTGTTGTAAGCCTTCTTTCAGCAGTAACAACATGAAAGAAACAATAGAGTTATGATCCTCATCTTGTAAACAAAACCCTGAAACTTCCTTCAGTTCTGACACGTCTTTTGCTAATTATTGTGATTCTTTAATCACTGGTTTCTGGTGTGACTGCAGTATGACAACAAGACTGCAAAAATACACTCTTTTGGCATGGAGGGCACCTTTAATTCTTTCAGCTTCTTAATGGGTTTGATTAGCATTGCATTCATTGAACATCTTCACTCAGCAGCAAATTTAAATTGCCATCATGGCCAGCACAAATATGTACAGGCTCACTATTCCTATAAAACCTTGTCTTTTAGGGCAGATATGGGTCATAAATTTGCCACATCCATTTGTACCAGTTACCTCTTCAGTACACCATCACACAGATTTAGCACAGTGCTTACTTAGTTAAAGCCTAGGAGTCATGAATCCTTCCAAGCTGCAAATCTCAGTTCTTAGCTTGCCCAAACCACAGTGTCATATGAGAATGTGTCAGTATTCAATGGGCACACACACAGTGGCATTAAGGACTTGACACACCCGTATTGCACTGAGGTGTACCCTCTATTTTCATAATATTGCAAATATCTTCCTTTGCTGCTTTGTTATTGACTCACACACCTAATCCTCATACCCCTTCACCTAGCAAACTACTCTCGTGGTGGCTATAGCTGCTGTGTGGGCCTGCCTCCTCACACCTCGTTTTTACCTTTACACTTCCATCTGTTTTCAGTCTGAGAGTACATTGACCATCAGCTACAAACGTGAGAACAAACATAGACAAATGGTGACCTTGTCCCTTTTGGTGGTGAGTCAGGTACTGCTCTCATTTCTGGTAGTTATCGCAATTTTTACAGACAGATGTGGTCTCTTGGCTGGCCTCTGCTCTGCCTGCCTTCCAGTCCCAGGTCTTTTTCTTGGGGTATTTTGGACTCACCATCCTACCTGCAGGATCAAACATCTTTGCACCTGTATCTATCAACAACCTCCATCAGAGTATTTTTTGTTCCCCAGATTCCACTTGCAATCAAAATTAATGTCCTGGATCAGATTTATTTACGAAACTCTCTGTTTTTTAAATGTAAGATTTAGTTTCAGTCCCAAAATTACAACAAAGGGTCTTCAGCCCAATATCATTCACATACATTGCTGTGGTTTTAATTTCCCTTTGCACTTTCTGGAATAAAATTACCTCTCTCATGTTTCATTTCCACATGTCATGAAGTACTTCTCAAATTTTGGTAAGACGCCTTCAAAGCCTCCTATTCCTGAAAACCCATAAAGCACACAAAAACTTCCTATAGCCAGAAAAAGGACAATTTCCTGTTTGCCTTCATTTTCCCTGGTACCATCTATTTTCAGAGGCAAAGTGAAGCACTGCTTCCTTCTCCTCAAGTTGCCTGCCATAGTCTGTGACAGTCCTTCTGAACATTTTTGATTTTCCATTTTCCATTCAATTATTTTATGGTTGTTTTGTTGTTTTTTTATTTATTTTTATTTCTGTTTGAATAATTACACAGGTCCCGCTTTACAGGACACATTACTTCCCCATGTTTTCAGAGCCTATAGCAAAAATTATTTAAAGTTCAAATTCACAGTTCCTCATTTATGAGGATTTGTAGTATAAGCTAAGAATAAATTATCCCTTCTCACTATAGAAGGCTTTTGTATCTACGGATTGTCTAGCTATGGCTTACACTTCTGCAAAGACAATCCACTTCCTTTATGGCTACTGACAGTTTAATCATGGGCTCTAAGCAATTTAATATCCACAGTGAGAAGCTAATTTGACAGATCTTGAATAGGGAAGGGATGCTTTCTTGTAAACCAAATTCAGCCTTATTTAAGAGAGACAAGAGCCAGGCTTGAGAACACAAGTGCAAAGCTTCTCCTGCATGAGGGGCAGGTAGCAATGAGATATAGCACATGGAATTTGCAAGGGCTACAGCCTAATTCAAACCCATGGCTTGCTAAGGGCTGTACTGCAAACTGGATATGGAAGGAAGCACTTCCCACCACCACAGTGGTGGGAGTCAAAACGAGAAAAAACATAGCACAACTCATATTAACAGAGAGCAGATGTTACAGATGGAAAACATGGCTAGTTTCTTGGCCTCTCTTCTCTGGACATAGCTACCCAGCACATCAGATACAATGATACATGCAAATCAAAAAATACTTGATGCTTCTGCTCCCATCACCTTATTCTCAGACTCTGTGAAATGATCCATGTTAAACACAATCATTTTTGGAAGGGTTATTTTAATCTGGATCATAGGGTGTAGTTCAGTACAGAGCAAAATTCCTGCCCAAGCGGTGGTAATAGCAGATCTGAGGGGTCAGGAAATTGTGCTGAATGATAGAAGAAAGCACCAAAGGACCAGGAGAATTAGGCAGTAAAGCAAGATTTATCCAGTCACTTTTTGCCACCATACATAGTGTGGTATGCATACACCCTAAAAAGCTTAAATACCCGTGCCCAGGTAAATAAGCCAGAATGCATACCTCACGTCCAGTCACCAGCTCTCCCAGTCAGGTCTGGTTTTGCACATGAGCAAGATTCAAAGTTAATTTTTTTGTTGTTGTTTTTTTATCTATGTTTAGACCTTGTAACAATCACAAACACTAAACAGTCACAGACTGAAGTACTAGACTCAGTGTACGATAAAGTAGTACCCAAGCACTGCGCATTGTGACAGCAAGGTTCAAGGCTGCCTGTGCTGATGAGTGCCCTTGGTGGAGTAATACTGTTAAATACCATGAGTTGAAACAAATCTAAGTTCCTAAGTTTTGAAAAGCTGTTGCTTTAAAGTGGATTTGCAGGCAAAACTGGAAAATATCCATGGTTTAAAATACATTAGGTCCTCAAACTCCCTGTTTTCTCCATGCCTTCACTGCATACTTGCTGAGGGGGTGCACGTGAGGCACTAAACAAAAAGACATTTACTACAGGTGCTGCAGAGAGGAACATCACAGTTTGGAGCAATGTTTGCTAATGCTCTGGCCAGAGACATGTGAAGTCCTAGCAAACCTGGCATAGGCTGACCTTGTCATGCTGCTTACTAAGAAGCAGAAAAACAACTGTTAACAGCTGAACCCAGGACAGTATCACAAAGGCACATTTGCAAAGGGACCCCTTTAAAATTCTGCTGTATTAATTGTTTCAGTCAAAATGTCCGAATTTTGAATCCAAAGAGCACAGTGCATTTGCTTTCCCTTATTGAAAGCAAACACAAAATTTCAGCCATTAGAAATAATTAGTACTAATCATATTTTAACTGTGAAACACGTTAGCATTTGTATTTCTCCATCCCTTCTAACATCCTGTTTGAGCACCTCAAGAGCAAAACAGGGAATACCATATGCTGCACCACTCACAGCTCTACAAGTGGGGACACACAGTGAGCTGCAGGACGGACAAGCAAAATGTGGGATTTTAATTCCAGAATAACACTCCTTCAGGGCTGAAACCACATTTGCCATAATTCAACCTGGTGTAAATTTAGGAGGCTATAAATGGTCATTCTTGGCATCAGGGTTTACAGGGAGCGGTGACTGGTTTAAATCTACTAGTGTGAAGGGTTTTAATGTAACCCTGAAACCTCCCCAGCTCTTTAAACACCTGAAGAGGTATCCTGGGTGAGGTGAGCAAGCCCTCCAGCTATTTTTTGGTGCTACTCAAAGCTATACGCACACAAACCCACGAAACTGTGTGCTCCTACCCCTGCACTGAAATGTGCCAATGCAATTAGCTATAATTGCTGGGAAACAGACTTCAGCCTGTTATCTGCCACGTTTTAAAGCAACGATCCAACATCCGCCATCTGTCTTCATTAAAACGCTCTTTAAGCTGACACCAGAACGGCAGTCAAACATTTGCATCCAGCAAAAGTTAGTTGCGACGCTCAAGTTACCGATGAGCCGCCGAGGCAGAGCCAGTTTCTGCATTCTGCTCCCCCCCGAAACAATGCAAACAATAGCAGCCTCCCCGAGCGGCTGCTGCTGCTGCTTGGGATCATGCACAGCTCGTCTCACTCCACCCAGAAGCCGACCGGATCGCCCGGAGAAAAAGCTCAACCCCAAGCACTTTGGTTGAGCTTTGTAAAGCTCTTGAAAAGAAAAAGAAAACCTCCAAATAAAAGGCAAGTTTTCTGGCACCCAGAAAACCAACAGGGAAAACAAACAAGCGGAAGGAAAGCATTTAAATCTTACCCTTGAAGGCTTAGAAAAGTCACAGCAACAAAGTTGCTGCCTTCCATAGCACTCTGGTACACTCCTCTCTTCTCATTTTTACACGCAGCTTTATCCCCTCCCAAGACCAACAGCTTCACCCGTAGTCGCAGCGCCGGGACAGTCACCTAAGGAAGCAAAGCTCCTTTGCGCTGTAGGAAGGGCATCCCGTGCTTGTCTCTGAGCCTCTTAAAGATCCAGGGCTGACCCACTCTGCCATGCAATGTCCTGGTAACTAAACTTACTGCAGCTTCCCCACTTCTTACTTTAGTCACAGTGTGGCTCTTTGCCAAATTCTTCACTTTTTTTTCCCCCTCAGTTTAATTCTGTTTCCCGTAGATAGAGTGCAGGAGATCCCTTAAAAATAAAATGTTTTCAGCCCAACAAGCTGTGACAGAGTAAAGCAGAAAAGCAGAGCACCTGGGCTTGGGGCACCCCAATTAATTCCAGAGGCAACTGCTGCTTGCCTTACCTACCTCCTGCCGATGCGGAAGCTTTCAGAAGGAAACCAAGCGAGTAAAAGACTCCGACATATCAAATTGCTTTAAAAAACGATGAACTTGGTGAGGGATCCATTTCCCAGGAGAAGCCCCTCTCTCTGAGTCTGTAATGCTGGAGTCAGCCAGGACTCCTTAAACCCAGAGGCGCTGTCCTAGGAGCTGATCCCAAGGCTCCACCTCACCCACTTTCCAATAGTTGAGAGTAGCAAAAACTCTGCAGAGAAAGAGCAGAATTGCATAACTCAACCACAGAGCTTCCTCCAGCCAGCTGGAGGATTGCTTCGGCGCCGAAACGTCAGGGCTTGCTCATCCCTGAGAGCATGACCTCCCCTTGGCCACAGGGACACACAGCTGGCCTCACGGATGTCAAGGGGACCCCCCTCACCAAAACACCTCAGCACCCTCATGAGCCTCCAAACCTTCCCACTCCTTCTCCCACCTTGAATGAACCAAACATTTGTTTTGCTCCAAATAGTTGGACCCTTCAAAACACAGTGCCAGTCCCCTGGCATTTTACCTACCTACCTACACTACAAGACTAACTGGGCTAACTATGAGCTTAATCCATCTGCTTCCCTCTACCTGTGAACTGCAATTATTGTAAGATCAGCATATTCTTTCCTAAGTTGTGTTGACAGTGATGCCTGCCAGAAAACGGCAATTTGTTGCAGGCAGCAAGAGAAATTTTAAGATTAAAGATTTCTGTATGTATTTATAATTTCCCCCCTTCATCTTCTATATTTCCCCACTGGTTTTACATGCACTCTTAGAATTAATTTCAAACCTACCCAGAAACCCCTGAACTCATTAATCAGCTGAGTAATTATAGTAGCACAAGAATCAAGGCTTTGCCAAAGAGCGTTTCCTAGAAGGTGACATTTTCTGAAGTCCTGGCAAGAGAAAAGCTATGGAGGACCCTGGATGCTGCAATGGCAGTACTCCAGTTGTCACAAAGGTTGAAATGCAAAGTGGCAACGAGGAGGATTCCACAGCACCACAAGCAATTTCTGAAGGAAGAAAAATAGCCAATGTCCCTTTGCTATGACTCCGGGGTTATTCTTCCAGGCTACACCTATTTGAGACAACATTCATTGAATTGACTTCCTGATTCCAGCACATCCATACAACAATCAACATGGGACAAGACACGTAGGACTAACCTCCTCGTGCCCCGGGTCATTTTCAGATGGTTTTGAACTGAAAAGCATCTACCTTGATAAGTAATTTCCCCTGTGCTAGTAATTTTTCCTGTTCTAAACACCAACATCTGATCTCAACAGCAACAGCCACAAATACCATGTTTTTTCTTGCAATCAAAAGTACAAGGATTGGGATTAATTTGGGTCCTTCTACATATTTGGAGAACCTCTCATTCTTTCTTCATTCTGGAGTTTCGCTGTTCTTAGAACTTTCTTCTGCCTTTCCCCCCCATTTCACTATATTAGTTGATGATTCATTCCTCAATACTCCCACTTTCTTTGCTGCTGTTTATACTTGCTTGTTACCACTTTGACCTTGGCGACAGTCATTTCCGCCTTCCTCAACTTAAGTTCATCTCCTTCCTTTTAGAATCATAGAATAGTTAGGGTTGGAAAGGACCTTAAGATCATGAAGTTCCAACCCCCCTGCCATGGGCAGGGACACCTCGCTCTAAACCATATCACCCAAGGCCTCGTCCAACCTGGCCTTGAACACTGCCAGGGATGGAGCATTCACAGCCTCCCTGGACAACCTATTCCAGTGCCTCACCACCCTAACAGGAAAGAATTTCCTCCTTATATCCAATCTAAACTTCCCTTGTTTCAGTTTTAACCCATTACCCCTTGTCCTACCACTACAGTCCCTAATAAGGAGTCCATCCCCAGCATTCCTATAGGCCCCCTTCAGATACTGGAAGGCTGCCTTCTCTTCTTCAGGCTGAACAGCCCCAACTTTCTCAGCCTGTCTTCATACGGGAGGTGCTCCAGTCCCCTGATCATCCTCGTGGCCTCCTCTGGACTTGTTCCAACAGATCCATGTCCTTTTTATGTTGAGGACACCAGAACTGCACACAGTACTCCAAGTGAGGTCTCACGAGAGCAGAATAAAGGGGCAGGATCACCTCCTTCGACCTGCTGGTCACACTCCTTTTGATGCGTCACACTCCTTTTGACATGAGAGTGGACCCAACCATAAAATCATCTGGCCTTGGGGCTTGTCTAGACTTTAAAATAGTTAACAGTTGGGTAGGCTGTTTTGCTAATGATTTTTCTTGGCACTGAAATACACCTCACATACATTGGCAATTACTTTTTCCCTCAGCTATGCTTTCCCCATGGACTTCAGAGAACTTGCTTATGTAGGGAAGCTCAGCACATGTGGGAGCACTCAGAAGAGGAGTGACTCAGTGTTATGAACAGAGCCCTGAGGTCTCTTGTCCTTGCCTTACACTTTGTTCCCTGGGTAGCACCTTCCCAAGAAGCACACCATTTGCATCCTCCTTTGCAAGTTTCTGAACACATCAGGGCGGGCTGCACCCTATAATGTTGTCTAAATTTCACTGCCTGCAGAAGAGGTGTACATGTATGCTGGGTGTCCAAGCTCTCACTGCAGCCAGCATGACTCGGGAAGAGATTCAGCAGATCAGCTGCAGCAAGGCAGCAGTGAGTTTGCAGTGATCCACAATTCTGGGAAGAAGTTCAGTCTGTTGCCTTTCCAGTAAACAAGCTGTTTTCTTGGCCAGGCTGCGACTTCCATACCATGCTGCTTCACCTTTGATCCCTCCACTTCCCCAACTAGTTACAGAGGCCTGGCTTAAAGTGGGATGGATTTAAAATCATGTCATTAAGACCTTATCCTAAGACTGTGTCTGGGAGAATGACTTCCAGTCATTCAGCCTGGGCTGTATTTCAGCTATGATCAAGATACAGCCCTGAAGACTTACTGACACGGTTGTTTAAGGGATGCCCTCAGTGCATCCTCTGGACCAGATACGTTCTCCCTCCAAACAGCAAAACTGAGAGAGAAGAGGACCCTCTCTGGAGCACATGGGACCCAAATATGCCTGGTGACCTGGTAAGGCTTTGAACGGCTCAATATGCCCCTGAGTAACTGGAGAGGGTAACTAGAGGTTAGGAAAGAAGTGGGGGAAAAATACACTCTGGAGCATTCCACAGCGCAGAATGCAAATAAATATCAGTCCTTGTGAGAAGCCCTCCCTATGTCAGTGCTATTTTTAAATTACTGTCAACATAGATGCTTTCCCAACTACCTTATCTAGCTCAAAAGGAGCACTGATGATCTTTGCTTTCCCTTACTGTCTTGTAACTGCAGCCTGCTACTGCTGGACTGCAAGGTTTGAAGCTTGATCTGCTCTACCATGGCTGGTACCTCTGACTGCAAAGCACTGACTGTGTCTGATCAAGCCAAGCTGGGCTCCCCCCACAGCAAGGAGCAGTGTTCAAGGATCATTTCCACCCAGCAACACAAGTGCATTGCTCATACTACCCATAGGAGTCACTACTCCAGAAAAGCCTTTCTACATGGTGTCACAGGTTTTCCTCACAAACCCCCAAGCATCAGTGTTAGATGACCAGATCTCCCTCCACACCCAATGCTTTACTTATCCCAGGTTTTCTCCCCTTTCATAACTAATTCTGGCCAACAGGTTGCTCCTTGTGTAGGTGAAGGATAAAGAGCATGCTTCACTTTGGGGACCACTGACATATCTGTTGTTCTGAGCACCTGCAATGGTTACAAGGGGTCAGATGGGCATCTTGTCCCAGCTGCCCTTGCTTTAAGAGACTTCCTGCATCCTCTTGTGGTTGAAAGTCAGGGTAGGGTGGATAAGAAATGCAGGACTGAAAGGAACGAGCTGGGACATTGATGTTTACCCTTTGAATATCAGAGGTCTGTTTTAAAAATATAGCATAGGAGGAACATCCAATCTGCAAATTGCCATAGTCCGGGAAACACCAACACAATCATAAAGTGAGTATCGAAAGACCAAAGGTCCCCAAATACACTGTATTACAGGTGAGGGAAGATGAGGTGTATGAGCAGTGTCCTTGATCCCTGCAGAGGATGTGGCAGGTGAAACTGTCCAGCTGGCAGCAGAAAGCGCACTAGAGTGGTGCACAGGAAAGGAAAAAGAAATCCTATATGTTTCTGTTACCACGGCCAGACTGTGGGAGGGAAATGAAATGGACACAGGAAGGCAGTGTCATGAAGTGACCAGTTGCTGTAGGGCTGTCCTTGTCTGCCGGGAGCTCCTCAGACACATTCATTTAACTGCATCTCCAAGGAACTGATCCAAAGCAGCTCAGTTTGAAGGGATGCTCTGGATTCCTATCCATGTGCACCCATCTTCCTGGGTGTGATGTGAAACCAAGTGTGCAGCTTTAGCAGTTCATTCAAAAATATCCCCATACCTCACCGGTTACTCCAGCAGCTGGGAGCTTGCTGTAGGGTACATGCCAAACGGAAACGGTCAGAACGTAGTTTCAGTGGGTGTGTGCATAATAACATGACTCATACTGATCAGGATTCAGTGGAGTGCCACTTACCTGCAGCAGGGAATGAAGAGTGCGTGGCTACAAATTCCCTTTCTCCATCTGAGCCCCTTGCCCCATACTCCAGGCCCTTAACAAAAAATGGGCAGCTGGGGAAAACCATAAATCCACAAACAGGCAGCCTCTTGCCTTTAGAAAGGAAGCAGAAACATATTCCTCGCACCAACACCTGCAAAGGTGATACCTCGTGATGATTTAAACAGAAATTAAGATGTCTCTCATTGTCCCCTGTGCAGCCCATAGGAGATGCAGCAGAAATGAAAACCTTTTGGTCAAAGCGCTTTCATCTGGGTTCAGCTGCTCAGATTACACTGAAGAGGAGATAAAGATGAGCTCAATTCTGCAGGGAACAAGGCCCAAGATGGTGTCCTCTCTGAGGTTCAGTTCCCACCAGATTTGGGATATTGTGTTTACAAACTCCCTTCTGGCCAAAAATTTCACTGCTGTAGTAGGGAAGGGACTGTTGCAGGTGGGAAAGTCTCCCAAGTACCTGAAATGTTTGCTGAGACCCCATGATAAATTGGGTGATTGATGGACACAGAAGTCAGTGGGACCTGATGAAGATCCACCTGTTTCAGGATCATACTCTTCAACTATAAATCTGTGTCTCTCCTTTTGCCTGTGACACTGCACATGCCTGACTGCAAGGGGAAAGCACAGGGATTAATCAGCTGCTGCAGCAAACCCCAGATG